TGCTTAGCTTGGATGCAGGGCTGTGTTAATCAACTGAACTGCTCTCTGCATTGAGCTGCCGCCACTGTGCAGGATCTGGTATGAGGACATGAGCTTGCATGGGACCTCTGTGTGGGTCTTTGTGTAGGCAGAAATGCCCTAATACTTAGGGGGTTTTGTATGCACAAAGATTTTATATAGAAGATGATAAAGTGCCTTTTGTTCCACGCACATCTTGTCTATGTATATGTATGGATGTTATTGTGTACATATGTCCTTGTCTCCTTGTATTGCAATTTTTTGTTTGGATGATCTGCAAGTCAGATAGACATAAAATAACTATATAACTTGCTGTAAAGTATGTAAGATACATGATATAAAAGGAATTATTTGGGGGACTTGAAAATCTGAATACTTATCATGGTGTTACTGGAATTGCCACTAACTGAAATTAATACCTTATTCTGAGATAGTGTTCTGTATTATTTGTAGCTATTTAACTTGCACATGGAAGATCTCTCTTTCAAAATCATCTCTTTCAACATTAGGCTCCCGTTAATCCACACGTGAACTATGAAAGTAATATTTTACTTTGAGCCCTTTTGTACAGTGTTGTTTTTCAAAAAGAAGTGATTGCACGACTGCATGCCAGATAACTTGACTGATTGTTCCCCCGTTACGTCAGCTGGTCTAGTGATAGATATTGCCTCTCCCTATAAACCTAATTTCTTCCTTCTAAACCTGCCTTAGTGACTTCTCTGCCTGTTTGAGAAATACCAGAGAAGCAATGATTACCCGGGAAGCAGTCATCTAAAATATGATGCACCTTGCGTTAGAAAATGTATCAAACATGAAGTATGCTATGATGTTACATCAGTGTTGGAATAACTTTGCATTATTTAGCATCGTGGCTGAATGTGGAAGTGACTTTTTAGAACTTGACAAGGAAGTAAATTATTAACAAGTGAAGATACTTGCTTAAGTATAAGGACCTAACAGTGATCATTAAAATTAACACCTCATCAGTAAGTGAAATGCCTTAGCAAATAAAAATAAACTTGTTTTCTACTTAGGTAAGGTGTCAAGTACCAGCAAATACTGTACCAATACATATTTAATTATATTAATGCTAGAAGATTACTGCACGGGATAGTAAATATGTTCCAAAAGGATCATTTCAGTATTTAATTGGCAATTACCACATATAACCTATTTCATGCAATAAAGAGACAGGATAAAAAACATTAAGTGAAAACAATGTGGTTCTAATTGGGTGATAAGTACTTCTCCAAGCATCATAGTTGTATACTGAGAACAAACTTTTTGGTCAAAGTGAAGATTTTTTTTATACACTAGAATCTGACCCTGAAATTACCTTTCATTCTGCAGTCTAATCTACTGAGAAATTCTGCCCCATTAAAAATCATGTCTCCTTGTGTTGAAAATACATCATCTTGCTAGACTTGCATCTTAGGGACAAATCTGAAAAAGGATTTAGATGTATCTGATTTGCACTTATACTGAACTGCCTCTAAAATCTGTAATTCCTGAGATGTGTAAGCATCACACTGTCTTTAAACTTGTATGGCATCTAGTGCGTTAGTAATATATATATACCCATTTCCTGGGATCTCCTCCAGCATCAAGGCTGGGCAAGAATGAGAGAATGAGCCCTACATGTTTAGTTGGGATCTGAAAATGGGTACCGAGAAGAAAGCAGTGGAGGCAGCTGCGCTCTTGTAGCCTACAGCCTGGTGGTCAGGGCAGCTATTCAAGATCACTTGTCACCTTTCCTGAGGGAACTACTACCTACAGCTGCCGAGATGAGGTTTTCCCTCCCAGCTTTGTCACAAATCCTTCCTCCCGGAATGGGGCCTCTGCACTGTGGTGCAGCTGAGGTCAGCTGCTGCCCTGCCATGGACAAGCAGTGCGGGTTCGCTGGTTAAAAGTCATTATTTTGTTCCTTACATCACATATTAATAGTTGATAATCCTTTTGTGTTAGATTTGAAATAATTGTCTCCTCGTAAAGGTTCTTGGGTTTCATAACTTCTGATGGTATCTACCTTATCATTCCAAGTGTCTGTCATCATCATCAGAGTTCTAATCTGGATAATTATTTGCATCCTCAAGTGGGTATCTGAAAGAAGCTAGAATAATTGCATCTTAACGTGGATATTTCTTGCCATTTGGCCATAAGAAAATTGCAGTGACTATCTTAGTATCCGTAATCTGTGTTATAGAGACCTGAAGCTAGGTGTCATTATTTAAAAATAATATTTTTGAAATTCTTGCAGCAAAGGAAGAAATCTATTACTACTTTTTGCTTGCCTTATATGCCTCTGTAGATGCTAGAAAAGCATTTTGTCTGTTTTCTTTCCTTCTTGTTATCACATCCTAATTTCAAAGTTATCTTGGGGGTTTGTGTGTCAGTCTGAGCCTGATCCTGAACTATCCCAATTTCTCCGTGCATGTTGTAATTTCACCACTTCTGTGACTTGCCAGGCACACTACTGTAGCCGTACATCAGAGAGGCTTTGTCTGCTCCTGGGAGCTCTGTGGCCAAGTGGTGCCCGCAGTGAGTTCTGAGCCGCCTTCGGTGCAGACCCTCTCCAAGTTTACAGCCATCTCTACTCTTTACCTTTTGTGATGTGACAGTTTCATCAAGTAGCCTGTCCCTTCTGCTTACTCTATAAAACGTCTGTGTGCTCTGCTCCCTGGCCCTGCTCTTTAGGAAGGCTCTGTAAACATCATCTTAGCGGAAAATGAGCTCATCTGGGATTCTGGCTCCTCGTAGTTATACACAGGTTTCAATTTAATCTTTTGCTAGTATTAAGCCGTGTTGTCCCAATAAATACTAGCGTAGCCGCATTGTGATGCTTTGTCAAATATAGCACCACAGGCTGTGTGTCTGGGACAGGCCTGCTTTGCAATGTGTGGCAAGGAGCTAAGGTGGGCATGAAGTCACTGCAATATTTTGTATATTTATGTCTGTTGTAACACGGTTTCAAGCAATGTCGTGTCTGTATTTAAAGCTTAGGTGATGGTTCTCTCACAGGTGTCTTGTGAACAAAATGTCTTTCTTTAAAAGAATATATTTTCTATTTTAACTTAATACCTTTTACAACAGCCATTATTTAATGAGCAAAATATATTTCTATTTTAGTGTAGCTAATCAAAGATACAGCCTTTCTTAGATAGGCCTAGTATTTTAGACACAGGAATTCTGTGGCAGCTCGTTCTTTCTGTTCTTTCTTTCATGTTCTTTCATGACATTGCAAAAAACGTGGCTGGATGTGTGAGGTCAACACACTCGTAAGCGTGTTAAGGCCTATTTCCCGCAGTATTTAAGCAACTGGTCAGGTGTATTAAGCATGCATGTTTTTATGCATGAGAGATTTTAAAGCATCTTCATATGGAATCTGGGCCAGCATGCATGGTGTTCTGATCTCATTCACAAAAGTAAGAAAGAATCAATCCAGTACATCCAGTAGCTGAGTAGTGAAAGTATTTTATGCAGATAGTCAGAATTTGATCAGAGCTTTAGATTTGTATTGAGAGTGCTTGACTGGGTTTTAGACTTAAATAGCTGGAGGTTACTTAAAACTGCATTATGCAAAACTTAAAACTATATGACAAAATCGACCTTAGAATCATCCAAGTCCTGCACGTGGTCCAGGTTGTGGTAGCTCATGAGGCAAGCTGAATTCCAGAAGCTCTGCACCCTCGTGGGAGACTGTTCTTTGCACTCACTGATGTGAGTCATGCTGAAAGAGTCCGTTCTAGGACCTGGCCAGTAATACGGTTTCCTCCTTGGCCCTTGTCACTTGGCTTGCTCATCGTGCCTTTGATCAATTTTGTGCTGTGCCTAACTGTGATGCTGCTCTGGATCTCTTGCACTTCCAAAGCCTTTGTCATGTAAAGGTGAATGGCATGGGTTTTGTAGCTCCAGATGCTTCAGTGCCTTGTATATGTAAATGTGCATGTGTACACGTATGCTGGTAATATCCCGTTCACATTTCAGGAGAAACAGATTCTTATGGGAATTCAAAGCCAATTTTATCTCCAGAATTTCACTCATTTACATTACCCTACAAGAAATGAATTATATTGCTCAGGTATCTAGGCAGAATAGTTCCAGTACTTCTGAGTACTCACACTTGTAAAAAAGGTGTAACAACACCAATTTTCAAGCATATTATAAGTTTTATCCTACTAATACTCTCAAAGGACTGTGATACTACAGTGTTGAGTGCTGTAGAATTGTCAATGCATAAATAAACATCAGAGGTAAGTAGTATCCTTGAGCAGGATCCAAGTGTCCTCAGAGGTTCTAATTGTGGTGAACAATCCACAGAGAGAAGAATGTACTACTTTGGGAAAGGTTATTTAATTCCCTTGCTTAGCATGCCAGTGAATTCTAATTTTATTATGAAATACAAAAACAACAAAGTGTAGCTGCCTGGCCTTTAAATCCACTAGAATGAGTATGCTACCTGCAGTGAGATCTCTATTTGCCAACCACCTGAACAGGTTCCAAGCAATTTGGAACATCTCACTGTTCTTTAAAACATAAATTGTTCCATGGCAGCTGCGATGAATACATTTCAATTTTGAAATGAATATTTTATGATCGTACCAGTGGGGGAAAAAAAATTCTGTACACCAGTCTATTAGACATGACCATCAGTGCCACAACTAGAGATAAATGGAGCCTGTTCTAACATCAAAAAAAAAAAAAAAAATTACATAATTAACTGCTGTGTGTGATGCCAAGCAAATTCCTAAATTTTTTTCTTGAGTAATATAATAACATTTTCTGACTGATGTGTTAAGAAATGGTATCATTTTGTGAATTCTTCAGGAACTTCCCTCACAAATTTTAACCATAATACTTTTCCTTTCCTTTGCTGACTTCCCTAAAGTAATTCACAGCCCATCAGGAGTCTGCTGTCTACAAACTGAAAACAATCAAAATATTTCATTAGAAGTATGGTCTTTTCCATTTTTTCATTTTTTCAGATTATACACGTGGGAAAAGAAAAGAAAGATGATCACGAGTATACAGCAATCATATCGGAGATTTTCTAAAGGTTTCAAACCCAGGAAAAGGGAAATGTAAGCACGTTCTCACAAACCAGAAAGTAAATTAAAAAATATCGGTATAACTAAACACAAGCTTGATGAATAACTTGATAATTAGATACTTCAGTAAGCATATTTGAGTTTGTCCAAGAGAATATGACAGGTTTAAAATTCTCATAAATCAAATAAATATTAAAAGAAAACTATAATGATTATGTAATCTAACTGGGCTGACTTTAAATTTGACACTGAGCAGAGACTGTAGCCAAGAATATCATAAGTTTTTTTTGTTTGTTTTTGAATATCATTGCTTTTAGTACAAGGATATACTTGCAGTTATTTTCAAAGTTAGTCCATTGTTAGTATCTGCTAATAAAGATATACTGGTTGTTGTTAGATGGAAAAGCAGAAAACAAAATTCTAGTATTGATTAAAAAAAGAACAGACTAACCCTTAAAAAACAATTCAAATCAAGCTATTTCTATCCAAAGAAAGGAATACAAGGTTTTACTTGGCTTTTGTTTTGTTTTCTATTTACCTTACTAGTATATTTTTAGGCTGTTTTTACCTTACTTCTGGTGCTACTTTGATTGTTGCTGTGTGTTTTTTAACTGGATTTGCAAGTCTGCTGCTCCAGAGTGGAAAGTTTTAGTCAAAACACACAGTGAGAGATGCTACAGATACATATATGGTTATCTTCAAAAAAAAAAAAAAAAATTATCTTTAGATTTCACTTCAAAGTGCGTTTTTCTGTTTTGCCTTTTGTTTATCTTTTTCTGAGGTTTAAAATCAAACCTTAAATTGGCTGGCAGAGAAAATGTGTCTCAGCCAAAATAATAGCTACTGAGCAATATTTTGTGTCTTTCTAGAATGTAGGTTTTTTTTTTTTTTATTACTACTAAAGAAGCGAAAATCCATATTGCAAGTCAATGAGTTATTATACTGTAGAAGAAGAAAAAAATGCAGTTAATGTATTTCATTGCATTAAAATGGATTTTTAATGTTGCTTTTGAATGCTGTTGTCAGTCAGTCCACTCTACTGTGTTTGTTTCCACACAGCCTCTAAATATGTGGAGTTTTTGGATACCTTTTGCTAGGTGTTAAGGAAGATGTTGCACAGCATCGAACTCCCAGACCTTCAGTGTAAAGAGGCTCTCTGCTCTTAAGAGGCACTTTTAATATGTTCAACTGTAAGTACCTAATATTGTTTTTATTTTTTAAAATATAAAGCTATGACAGCTTGAGTAACTGACTACTTGTAATCATGCCCTGTACCTTCTCAATTTCATTTTCTGTACATATAGATATGTATATATGGATGTGTGTGAACAGACATATGTGGTTTAATCTTTTTCAAGAAATTCTTTTTGTGTATGTTAGGAAAAATTAACTGCTGGGAGACCTTCATGTTAAGCAGAATTTTACAAACCAATTTCCGTGTCCTACGTATTCTTTTTGGGGTGAAGTGGTCAGCTCACTTACTGTGTATTTAACTTGGAGTAGTATATTCGTTAAGCACTGCATGAAGTGTTTGTGCTGCAAAGGAAACATTTTTAATCTACCTAAAAGTAATGGGTTTTCAATTCTGGCAAAAAAACAAAACAAAACAAAA